TTATCGATGAAGAAAGGGCACAGTATAGAGCCTTCTTTTTCTTGTCAGTAAGAGGAAAAAGTCAAAGATCACCCTGTGTGGGTGTAGCTCCAGCACAGGACTGACGATTTTATTTATTGATCTTTGTTTGATCCCCTCTCTTGGATAATTCAAGACAGGTGAACAGCGAGCATAAAATAAAATGTCTGCAATAACAGTATTTCGACAGCTGAAATATAACGTGTAAATCTAGCAATATCTGAGCAGACCATCGTGGGGCATGGTGACGTTTCTGAATGTTACTCGTACAATGTAAACTCTGGCAGGGTTATCATTTACACTGGCAAAGCATTAAGAATCTTAGCAACTTGCCTAAGTACAATTATTAATATAAAAAAGATGTGGTTCAAACTGTAGCTACAGAATTGACTGTTCTTCCCAACTGTTAAGACAAATTAAGAAATGATGCAGTTTTTTCCTTTGTGTCCCCTCTTCTTCTTTGATTTGGTTGTCCTTTGTCCAAACTGAGAACTAGATAACACAGTAGTTGGACCAGAAAGATCATCTGTATAGTATGGGTATCTCAGTGATCGTGGCTGTGGAATTGGCTGTCCTAGAAAATATCCTTCCTCTTCAGAATCGGATGAGGAGGATGAAGTTGAACACCAGGAGTCGTCTTCCTCACCATACAATCCGAAAAATTTATCAACCATCTGATTCCGCAGTGCATAATCAGACCTAGTATGGGCATATTGTCCGTACAACTCTGCATTTTGAATATACGCCCGAATCTCACGTGAGCTTCTATTTTGAATAAATTTTTCATGATCCTGAGGGGAGTAATAACGAAATCTCTCTCTTGGAGAGCATCTTCTTTCCGTGGCCAAGTTAAGTGCATTATCTGAACGAGACTTCCTACTTCTTCGTCGATGATGAGAAGGCCGATTTCCATGCTCTTCAAAATGGTAAACACGCCTACGAGTCCTTTCACTCATTGGAGGCTGACGTATTTCAACATTCTCGTAGCTTCCATTATCAATAACATCATCTGAAAACTTGACTTGCTGTGGTCTAGACTGGGATTTAGATCTTCTCAGTACAGGCATATGCACTGGCTTTTCCTCTGGCAACACCTTTTCCTGACACAACTCTGAGCTCAGACTCTTCAAGGACTCTGTGCTCCGGTGGAGCATTGAAGAATTCAGAGTTCCCATGTTGCTCATTTTCTCACAGTCCTCTACCTCCAGTTCTTGGAAAGTTTGCAAAGAGTAGAGAGGTGGCCGTGGCTTGCCTTCTCCATCCATTGAAGCCCCTGTGGTGGGAATGGAGAAAGGAGGAAAAAAAAATGAGAGCACTAGCAAACAGGTAAGTATTATAACAAAATATTAAACCTTTCTTTTAGTAAAGCAGACCTTACCAGTGGTTTTTGGAACTCTTACCAAAAGGACTGACTTCATGGAAGAATAAGCTTTGTTTTGACATTTAAGTATTAGCTCTGATTACCAAAGAATTAGCTAACATTAGGACATTGAGAGCGGAAGAAGTTTAATGAGTTAAAATTTTTAAACAGCTCTAACACGCATCCAGCTAAGCCTCTCAAGAAAAAAAGAATTGCTTAAAATCATTCTACAATCTGTGCCTGCCAGTTTTAAGGCTGAAATATTCCATGTTTCTCATATTGCTAAATTCAATACTCCAGCTGTTGCTACAGGAAAGACAGGCTTACTGCCTCCTCGCAACGAAAGACCCTTACTCTTCAAAAATCATCAGCAGTAAGCTGGCCTGGTTTACTCCAGGTTTGTGTCCAATGACCCTTCATTACCACATTGGCAGCGTCATCTGCCCTGTGACATTCCCAGGTGCAATACCCTCTAGTTCCTCCTCTTCCCAAGCCCCCTGAACCACGCTCTCCTCATCAGTTCCTTCATTACTGCTTGGGCAATGCAGCATGTGGTCGGGCCTGACCTACATGAGTAGCTACAATATTTGGCGTTACAGAAGGACAGGAATGGGCAAGAGGATAGGACAACTTTTACAATGGGTCTCTCATACCTAACTCTCAGAAAAATAGGGAAATAGGACGGGAAGGTTAACACCACACATGCGCACACACACACTTGCATATGTGACTTTTATCCCTTTGGCTGATTTCAATCACGTTTGACAAGGAGGTTCACAAAAGGGAATTATCAGTTTCTCTTTAGTCAATGGAGAAAGACAATCTCATAAACCTCATTTCCTAAGGCTAAGTAGTTTACCATCTTTTCAGATTTTCTACATATTTTTACAAGCAAATCAGGAAATTACCTGAAGTGTTTTGCAGATTATCTTTAATATTATCCTAGTCTATAATGCAACTTCTTGTACTTAAGGTAGGGGTGGTGGGAGGTGGGAATCTTCATTTGCTCGAAGCAGTGTTTTTTATACAAGAAATGCATAGCTCAAGACCATTCTTACTCTGCTTAATATTATGGATTGTTTTGTTTTACGCAAAGGAAAGAGAACTCAAAAAGAAAGGAGAAGAATTTAAATAGAATTTAAGTAGCAGAAACGTATCTTGTGGAAGATAAAAGCTATTGTCTACTTTAGATGCGTCTCTTGCTACTGAAGCTTTTTAGAAATCACAGATTCGAAAAGTCTTAGTTCAAAATACTGCAACATGCATGCTTTGATGGACTTCTCCTTCAAAACCAGTCATTGTTCCCCCCCATTACCTGTTACGTTAGACAAAGCCAAAGAATCCATTGAGTCTCGAACACTTTGTTCCTGCTGTTTCAGGTCAGACAAACATTCAAGTGAACCTCCATACCACGGTGTTTGGTCGTGTTTGTATCCTGATGCCCCGTGCTCCATGTCTAGCTCCTGGATTTTCCTGCTGCTGGCAGGGCCTGGGTGGCTGCCGTATGCAGAGTCACCCAAGCCATCTTGTGACTGGGCCCAGTACATGTCTGACTGATACTTCTTACTTGCTAGGCTCGGATTATTTTTTTTCAAGTCCAACTTGCTCTTGACCATGCTATCAGAAATCCAGTGTTCGCTTGATCTAATGTCCACTTCAGCAGGCTGCTGGAAGAGGCTTTTATCACCAAACTTCAGAAGAAGTTGAGTCATGTAGTCTTCATGTTCAGCCCACTCTTCAGGATCTTCAGGTGTTTCTTGCTCTACTCTCCCTTTCCAGAAGTCTTCATTAACAAAGCTTGCCTCTTCCCTTGAAAGGCTTAAGTCATCCAGCTTACGAGAAAGAGTATCATCGGCGTTGCCTGAAAGGCCAGGAAATTTGTAATTGAGGGCTGGCGACAGGAGGAGAGACTGGCGGCACTGGTCGGCTGACCGGCTGCTTTTTCCCATGCGAACACTCCTCCTGGAATCTCTGGATCGAGCAGACTGAAATGCAGAATCAGAAGAGTCGGAGGCATGAACATCCTCTCCCAAGCTGCAGGTTTTTGAACAGTAAATCTGCCCTTGCTTTGGAAGGAAAGGGCAGCCAAGCAAAGAGGTTTTGCACTGAGCACAAGAAAAGCAAGTCTCCGTTGCGTGCCAGTGCTGTCCATCATAGGTCATCTGAGCATGGTCAACACCTGGAATGAGAGAAAAAGCAATGCTTTGGGTTTCTCTAAAAAATTACTTGCAGAATCCACACTTCTAGAACGTGAAATTATTTCATAACTTGGCTTTCCCTTAATTTGTAAGTTTAATGCTTAAAAGGGACATACTTACCAATGTGTTCCCCACATGTCTCACAGTATTCTGCGTAAAGAGATTCGAAACAGTTACAGCAGAATGGTCGCCCATCCTTCATGATGTATCTCTGTCCACCCAAGATTGTTTCACACTCGAGGCAACAGAAGTGCTTCATGTGCCAGTGGCGACCCTCAGCTTCTGTACACTCATCAGCGAAAATGATCTTTTCAGAAATAAAAAGTAAACTTTTAGTTAAAGCACCCAAAACCTCATCTTGGGACTCAGAGCAAGCAAAACATCCTATTTGTGCAGTTCACACACTAAAATTATTTTTTTATTTAGCTGCCTTTTGAATACAAAGATAGAAACAACAATCTCCCATAGCAACTGCGGCAATCCAATCTTTCCTTAAAACAGGAAAGAATTAAGAAAACCTGTACCTTTTAAAACAAAAATTTAAATGAGAACATAAGAACTCAATAATGAAAGAACCTGATAGCAGCATGATATTGTGGAATATTTGTACAGATACTTTTTCTAATTCAATCTACAAGATTCAATTCTGAATCCAAACAGGTATGTGCTTTCTAAATACCATCACGTTGCTGGTACTATTGTCGATATGACAAGAAATCAAACACCTCTCAGCTTTTAAACACATCTATGCACCGAGTCCTTACTTCTTAAATGAACACATCTGAAGTTAGTAATCACCCAAGTGATGGCAGTTTGTTAACTGAACAACAGGAGTGTAGATTGCCTGTAAAATGTGAATTATTTACCTCATCGCAGGCTGAACATCGAGGTTTGAGAAGTTCAGCATGGTGTCTGCCACAGTGAATTTTTCCATCTTGGTAGAAGTAGATAAGGTCAACAAGCAGCTCGTTACACGTGAAGCACACAAAACACGAGGGATGCCAGCACACACCAGGCCCAGCTCTCGAGGCAAAAACTGCAACTTCACCACCATTTACTTTTGTACCACACTAGGAACAAAACCAGAAAGTGAACACACTTCCCATCCCAAACTACTAGCTTCTAGCATTTAAACTAAGTTAAACATCAAACCCAATATGCAGGTTTTATTCTAAAATTCTGACAAGAGGGAAAAAAACATTCTCAATTTTGGTCTAGACAGACTCTGTGCATCAACAAAACTTTTGTGACTAGAAGTTTATTGTATATATAGTAACATTTTTAAGCATATGCCTGTTTTTGATTTGTCATTACTTTAGTATGAGTCAGTAACAGTTTTTTTCGGAGTAGAAAATACATCAAAGATTTGCTTCATTCCCAGTATCAAACGCTGTGTTTTGCTTAAACACGTATCACCTTCTTTCTATTTACATGCAGTTTCAAAAACATTCTTTTTTTTCTTTTTGGTGTTCAGACATAGTCAGAGATATGCTTACATGTAATATTGCAATACTGTAGTTTTACATTTTTCAGCCCACCAGTTGGCTCGTGGCACCAGTAGCATTACCTGTTCACAAACCGCGTGCATCACCGCTCTGGAGAGGAGTTTAATAGTGCCTCGGCCAAGTGCCTCCTTCTTGCGCTGAGAACTGAACATCTGCAGTTCCTTCTTTTCTTCTTCACTTAAAGACTGGCAGTATCTCACCTTCCAGTGAAAACACAGGAGAGCTTATTTGAGATACTGAGCTTTTAAAGTAACGGATTAATAAGTAAGTGCATACATGCAAGAAAGTCATCAGGCATGCTGGCCATCATCATTAAACTTTTCCAACTTGTCTTCTCCACCATCTTAATATTTAGCTAATATGGAAGAATACAGAAGTCATGGAGAGACATTTTGCATTACAGGGGGAAAAAGGACCATACTAAACTAAAATATCTAGGCAAGAAATAAGATTTTAAAAAGACAAACCAAAACCTGCTGCTATCCTAAAATAATGGAATGAACCTAAACCAGAGGAAACATTGTCCTTTAGATTTATGGTTAAGTGCCCACAACTAAGTACTGCAGTATACACCAGATCTTAAGTATCGACACCCCCGCCCCCTCCCCTTACAAAGAGCTTGTTTGTTATTTCCACTTCTACTCCAAATTACACCGCATATCTGAGATGCAAGCTTTTTACTATCACAAAGCATCCTTTTTGTGTGCTACAATGCAATTCCAGGAATTTGTAGGTTCCTGGTAATTGGTGGGTGGCTGCAAACACTATAAAACCAACTTGTGTTAAGTTTATTGCAATGACACCAGCCTCCCTAACAAGCAAAGGCAGTGTCCTTCCAGACAGCTCTTATCTGCACACAAGCCAACTGGACAGCTAAACAATGGACTCAGTGTACACACCGTGCTGCTTTAGAGGTCAGATGCCACTGCAGGCCACCGTTTAGGCTCGTAATAAATACACAGGTAGGTAATTCTCCACGTCAAAGCCACCAGGGAGACCTAAGCCCTGACGGTGCATCCTAAATTCTGTATGTACCTCGTTATCGTGGGGTGGCAGCTGATAGAGGAGTTGTTTGATTCGGTGTTTCTCTCCAGGGCTGTTAACGTAAGGGACCTTCTCCTCTGGCAAGCAGGCGAAATACAGCTGGACCTGACCAGGAGGAACGCAGAGTTCAGACCGAGGAACACACTTCATCCAAGCACAGCACTGCAAAAGTGTCCTTCAGCTACTGTTTTGTCTCAGGTCTCGTTTACGAAGGAAGAAGGTTCCGCTACATTAGACCTGTGACAGGGTCTGTGCTGAAAATACGAGACCCAGATGAACCAGCTCAGCAAAGCTGAACTGTCTCTGATAAAACTAGCACCCAGCTGCTGAATTGCTTTTCTGGAATGCAATTTGCAGTGACAATTAGGGGGGGTATCATAAATTATGCACATTTAACGTTCTCATTATTCCCACCCCCTTCAGGGCTGGTCAACAACCCCGTGGAAATTCCAAGTTTCCCTCTGCAATTTACCACACAAGGCATGAAGCTTTCCAGAAAACAGCCACTATATAAACAAATTTAATTTGCTCTCTGCATTTTACACATTGTTGAGACAAAAGCTGTTTTGTAGTCTCCTGCTGATCAGGTTCACCCACAGCATCAACTTTCATTGCTTCCATGTGGGCTTTGGTAAGAAGGTGGAAACATCCTTCCCTTGGGAGGAGGCTGTATCCAGCTACGTTTCAGTCAGATGCAAATTCACTTCGAAATTTTCACAGGCTGCATGTTTTTGATAAAGAAATCAATATTAGGTGTACACACCTATCAATCGTCACCTTTTTTTTTTTTCAGAAGAAAATTATGACAGGAAAGCTGTAATGAACACTATGACAAAGCCCAATGGCAAAAAATATTTTTGTGGAACAGCTACAGATTTATTGGTTTTCCTACGCAGTTTCCAGCTTGTCACGAGGCCTGGGGCTGTAAATAAGAGCTGACTATTGGCAAAAATATTACTTGCCATCCAGATTTAAATAATGCTCAGGTCAACAGCTTATTACTGTGCAAGACAGATGAAGAAGAAGGAGCAATCAGTCACTTGACTCAGGAAGCAATCAAAATTGTACGGGAAAGGTTGTAGGAAACACAAATTGGTCTTCATTTAACCAAAATTTAAACACCAGGAGTCTTCTGTAAGCCCACTTACTACTGACTGTGTTTCAAGAAGCTGTAGGAAGCGATAACAACATGCAGTGCAAAGTGAAGCTTTAAAGACACTTCACGCCCTTTTCTCAAGTTTATTGCACCATTCTCAAAATAAGTAAGTCGTCTTAGAAAAATATCTTCAGTAAGTTTGAGCTAGCTGGATTATGAGGATATTTTGCGACGTTTTAATTGTTCTGGCAGAATGTTAGCTTGCTGTTCACCTTAAGGTCCAATTAATCAGGATTCTTATATATGCTTAAGTAAGTGATAAAAAGAGTTTCCCTAAAAATAGCTTATTAGTTGCCATTCCT